CGGCCACTGCACTCCAGTCTGGGAGACAGAGTGAGACTCCAACTCAAAAAAAAAAAAAAATACACTGATATTTTTAAATGGAAAAAAACATTCCTGGGTCATGGACCATACAAAAACAAATGGAGGGCCAGATTTGGCCCAGAGGGAAAACTTTGCTGACCACTACCCTAGGGAGTCAATTAAGCATTTGTGTATTTATGAATCTGCCTCCCCCGGTGGGCTATGCTCAAGGTCATGTGTCCAGCTCAGAGTCTGGAGCATAGCAGGCACTCAGCACAGATTTGTGGAGAGAATGGATGAACGAATGGACAAATGGATGAAGGGGTTGAACCCCTGTGAAGTATGAGGCCAGAATCCTGGAAGCCTCATGTCCCACCTTTCTTCACCTGGCTCTTTTTTTTCAGATATGCTGGGGTGTCACATGGGACCCTCTGACTTGAGCCATCTTCAAGCCCTGGAGGAAAGAAAGGCGGTGTTCCTCCAAAACACACCCATGGGTGCTGGGCTGCTTCCAGGTGCTCCTGGAGTTTAGTCAAGAAGTGGCCCCGAGCGGGGCTCGGTGGCTCAGCCCGTAATCCCGCACCTTTGGGAGGCTGAGGTGAGTGGATTGCCTGAGGCCGCGAATTCGAGACCTGCCTGGGCAGTGAGACCTCATCTCTACAATAAATAAAAAAAATCAGCCAGGCATGATAGCTCATGCCTATAATTCCAGTTACTTGGAAGGCTGAGGCGGAAGGATCGCCGGAGCCCAGCAGGTCGAGCCTGCGGTGGCCGGGAGCGGCCACTGAACTCCAGTCTGGGCGACAGAGTGAGACTCCAACTCAAAAAAAAAGAAGTGGCCCCGAAGCTGGGCTCGGTGGCTCAGCCTGTAATCCCGTGCTTTGGGAGGCTGAGGTGAGTGGATTGCCTGGGCCCACGGGTTCGAGACCCACCTGGGCAACTTGGTGAGACCTCATCTCTACAGTAAATCAAAAAAGTAGCTGGGCGTGGTAGCGCGCACCTGTAGTTCCAGCTACTTGGAAGGCTGAGGCGGAAGGATCGCCGGAGGCCAGCAGGTCGAGGTTGTGGTGGCCGGAAGCAGCCACTGCACTCCAGTCTGGGAAACAGAGTGAGACTCCAACTCAAAAAAAAAAAGAAGTGGCCCCGATGCCCTACTGCTTCGTCTCCACATCCCAACAACTCTCGGCAGTGATGGCACAAGTGTTCTGCCATGCTGGGGGGTGAGGAAGCAGAGCGTGGGTGCCAGGAAGGAGAAAGGAAGAGATGAGACCACTCTGGGGTAAGTAGCAGGGGGATTTCAACAGAGAAGCCCAGATTTCACAGCCAAGGCCAAGCAAGTAGGACAGGAGGTGGGGAAGGAAGTGGCCGGGGTTAGGCAACTGGGGAGTTTCTTATTCTCTCGGTCTACTATAATAGAATAGTTGAGGGTAGAACACCTCCTACTTGGAACCTGACTGTCCACCAGAAAGGGCCACTCCTTGGGAGCTTCTTCCATCAGAAAGAGAAAGCTGAAGGCTGGGAGACACGGTAAGTACTTTCATGGCGGTATACCTTTTGGGTCTCCTCATCCCCCAAGCAGCAGCAAACTGAAAAAACTGAAACCTGTGTGTGTGTAGCAGAGAGAAGCAGAGGAAATTATGACAATATCCTGAATACAGAGAGGGGACTCCAGGAGGTCTTTGGCAAGGGAGAAAGAATTTAAAATTTGGGGGGCATTGGGTTTACTGAGAGCAACTGAATGGATATTGAAGAGGCCCGGGGTTTGGCAGATGGAGACTAAGAGATATTTAGATTAAAACAGATAAGAGGCCGGGCTCGGTGGCTCAGCCTATAATCCCAGCACTTTAGGAGGCTGAGGCAAGTGGATTGCCTGAGCCTGTGGGGTCGAGAACAGCCCGGGAAACTTGGCGAGAACTCATCTCTACAATAAATCAAAAAATCAGCCAGGCGTGGTAGCGCATGCCGGTAATTCCGGCTACTCGGAAGGCTGAGTCGGAAGGATCACCGGAGCCCAGCAGGTCGAGGCTGTGGTGGCCGGGAGCGGCCTCTGCACTCCAGTCTGGGTGACAGAGTGAGACTCCAACTAAAAAAAAAAGAACAGATAAGAACATGAAAAAACCAGCCTAGGCAAAATAGCAAGACCTCATCCCTACAAAATATCAAAACCTTAGCTGGGTGTGGTAGTGTGCACCTATGGTCCCAGCTACTGGGGAGGCTGAGGAGGAAGGATCACCTGAGCCCAGGAGGTCAAGGTTGTGGTGAGCCATGATTGTACCAGCCTGGATGACAGAGTGAGACTCCAACTCAAAAGAAAAAAAAAAACACCAAAAATGTGGGAAAATCTTTGAGAATGGGAAAGGACTAAGAGTGTCTCAGAAAATAATTGGGTTTGTTGGGTTTTTTTTTAGTTTTTATTTTAGCTGAGCGCAGTGGCTCACGCCTGCAATTCCAGTACTTTGGGAGGTGAGGCAAGAGGACAGCCTGAGCCCAGGGGTTCGAAAGCAGCCTAGGCAACTTGGCGAGACTTCGTCTCTACAATAAATCAAAAAATTAGCGGGGTGTAGTAGCGCACACCTGTAGTTCCATCTACTTGGAAGGCTGAGGCAGAAGGATCGCCTGAGCCCAGCAGGTCAAGGCTGCGGTGACTGTGAGTGTACCACTGCACTTCAGCCTGGGCAATAGAGTGAGACTCCAACTAAAAAAAAAGGGTTGTATTTTATAGTAATAGAGACAGGATCTTGCAAGCGATCCTCCTGCCCCAGCCTCCCAAAGCACTGGGAATACAGGTGTGAGTCACCGCGCCAGGCCAGAGTTGGGGATCTCAAGATAAAGAGGCCTGGGCAGAGGCTAGCGAACCAGGGTGAGCCCCGGGAGCGGTACAGATGTCCAGGAAGCCCAGAACTGGCGAGAGATATAAGTTGGCTGCCAGGTTCTGATCCCCTCTTCCTCTCCCGCCCCTGTCTCTCCAGCCGCCATCATGTGGAACACCTCCGAGGCCAACTTCTCCTGCTACCACGAGTCTGTGCTGGGCTATCGCTACGTGGCAGTTATCTGGGGGGTGGTGGTGGTGGTGACAGGCACCGTGGGCAATGTGCTCACCCTCCTGGCCTTGGCCATGCAGCCCAGACTCCGCACCCGCTTCAACCTGCTCATCGCCAACCTCACCCTGGCCGACCTGCTGTATTGCACCCTCCTCCAGCCCTTCTCCGTCGACACCTACCTCCACCTTCACTGGCGCGCGGGCGCCACCTTCTGCAGGGTATTCGGGCTCCTCCTCTTTGCCGCCAACTCCGTCTCCATCCTCACCCTCTGCCTCATCGCGCTGGGACGCTACCTTCTCATCACCCACCCTAAGCTCTTCCCCCGAGTCTTCAGCGCCACGGGGGTCGTGCTGGCGCTGGCGGGCACCTGGGTGGTGGGCGTGGCCAGCTTCGCCCCGCTCTGGCCTGTCTACATCCTGGTGCCCGTGGTCTGCACCTGCAGCTTTGACCGCATCCGAGGCCGGCCTTACACGACCATCCTCATGGGCATCTACTTTGTGCTGGGCCTCAGCAGCGTTGGCATCTTCTACTGTCTCATCCACCGCCAAGTGAAACGGGCAGCGCAGGCGCTGGACCAGTACAAGCTGCAGCGGGCAAGCGTTCGCTCCAACCACGTGGCCGGGACAGAGGACGCCGTGCCTGGCCGTTTCCAGGAGCTGGACAGCAGGCTGGCCTCAGGAGGGCCCAGTGAGGGGACCTCGTCTGAGCCAGTCAGCGCGGCCACCACTCAGACTCTGGAAGGGGACTCATCCGAGGTGGGGGACCACGGCATCAGCAAGGGAGCCAAGCAGGGGCCCGAGAAAGGGGCTCCGACCATGGCTGCCAAAGCCCAGCCAGCGAAAGGGGCCCGGAGAGCCCCGGACTCCTCGGCAGAGTTTGGAAAGGTGACTCGGATGTGTTTTGCTGTGTTCCTCTGTTTTGCTCTGAGCTACATTCCCTTCCTGCTGCTCAACATCCTGGATGCCAGGGTCCGGGCCCCCCGGGTCCTCCACATGCTCGCGGCCAACCTCACCTGGCTCAATGGGTGCATCAACCCCGTACTCTACGCGGCCATGAACCGTCAGTTCCGCCAAGCCTATGGCTCCATCTTAAAACGAGGGCCCCAGAGTTTCCGCAGGTTCCGTTAGAACTGCATCCCTGGCCGGGTGTGGTGGCTCACACCTGTAATCCCAGCACTTTGGGAGGCCGAGGTGAGAGGATTGCCTGAGCCCAGAGGTTCAAGACCAGCCTGGGCCACTTGGCAAGACCTCACCTCTACAATGAACAAATAAATAAATTAGTCAGGCATGGTGGCACATGCCTGAAGTCCCAGCTACTGGGAGACTAAGGCAGAAGGATTGCCTGAACCCAGCAGGTCAAGGCTGCGGTAGCTGTGAGCGTGCCACTGCACTCCAGCCTGGGCAACAGAGTGAGACTCTGACAAAAAAAAAAGAAGAAGAACTGCGTCCCCACTCCCCGGAATTCAGGACTGTCTTCTCCAGAACCAGAGCTGCCGACTGAGATGAAAGTCAAGGAACTGAGAGTCTCATAGGCGTTTTCACAGACAACCTCTCCCCACACCCCAAACCAAGTCTCTCCAACCCTTGACCAGTATTTCAACCCCTAGGTGGCCCCGGGAGTATTACTGACTCTTAATAAACAAAGTATATCCTTTTAAGGCTCAGGTGTGGTCTTGGGGGAAGAAGGAAATAGGCCTGGGTTGGTTTGTAGCTGGAGTTTTGGGAGGCCTAGGTCAAAGCAGGGGCAGGACACAGCCGATCTGGGACTCAGTCTTCAGTCTAGGTAGGGGACGTCAAGGTTATAAAACACATGATGTGGGTTAAAAGCATTAGCTTGCCTATTTGTTTAACTTCCAGAAATGACCCCTGCCCCAAACCACTGCTGCCAAACCACTCCTCATCCTAGCAAACAGGTTTTTTTTTATTTTTTGGAGTCAAAGTTTCACTCTGTGCCCAGGCTGGAGTGCAACGGCACGCTCACGACCACCACAGCCTCGATCTACTGGGCTCAGGTGATCCTTCTGCCTCAACCTTCCAAGTAGCTGGAACTACAGGCGTGTGTCACCATGCTCGGCTAATTTTTTGATTTTTATTGTAGAGATGAGGTCTCGCCAAGTTGCCCACGCTGGCCTCGAACCCATGGGCTCAGGCAATCCTCTCATCTCAGTCTCCCAAAGTGCTGGGATTATAGGAGTGAGCCACCGCACTTGGCCTTGCAAACAGGTTTACTTGACTCAAAAAAGTGCTATGTTCCAGCTCCACTGGGACTACTCCAGTGAGCCCAGTCCTGGCCCCTGCACTGTGCAGAGGGAGTGGTCATGGAGAAGGTCTCCTTGCTCTGCAGAAATGGAACCCGGCTCAGCTGAGGTAAAGGCAACAACTGTCCCAGCTGCCCCAGCAGAGCCTGGCTCACTGGGGTTAATCACCTGAGTCCCAGGCCCTCAATTCTCTTGCACTTGTCACCCTGGCTTAGGAAAGCAGAAGATCAGAGACTCTAGGTCTGAGGGCTCAGGGACCAGGCAAGGGGGAGGGAGGCTGCACCATTCCTTCCCTCCAGCAAGAGCAATACTCTGTGGCCGTGTGCCTCTCCCCACACCCTTCCAGTACCTGTGGCCACCAGGTGACGCTGGTTCTCTGTGTTTCCTCTCTGGCTTCCCAGTTGAGGACAGAGGCTACCAGCAAGACTGGGAATCCAGACACCACAACTGGGGAGTGGAGGCCCAGGGATGTGCACCCTCCCTTTTTCCCAAAGCTGAGCAAGAAACGTGAAGAATGAAAAACTGGCTATTCATGACATATATTTCTGTCTCCTTGGGCAGGGCTGGGGAGATAGCAGTGTGGACATGTGGTGGCACCGGGGACGTGAGAGCCACCTTGTACCCTCCCGACCCCAAATCCATGGTCTGAGGGAACAAAGTAAAGCCTGGAGAGATTCAAACAAGGGCAGAAAGAATCACAGTTGGGGTGGACAGATTGATACCCTCACATGTGACACACTTCCAGGACCCAGGAAGCCTGACACCCAACCTGGAATATGTGCTTCCAGGTGTCCTCCTTCCACAAAAGTCACATCAGCCTAAACTGAGCCAAGGTGGGGTCACCGAGGTAGGGGTCCCAACAGGTCAACTATGGGACCAGTGAAGAACATCAGCTCAGGAGTACAGAGACAAGGTTTCCATCAAGGCTTTCTACCAATTAGCTCTGTGAAATCAGGCAGATGCCTGGACCACTCAGGACATCAGATTGTGTGTGTGTGTGTGTGTGTGTGTGTGTCCGTCCCAAGTTGTCAGCAGTGGTTTAAGATTTTATCACCCATACAAAGAGGGGTGTAGGACGCACTCTTGCCACCTGCCCAGTGCAGTTCTAAATCCTGCGAATATATCATTTAGCACACTCCTCACAAAATGTTTATCTATTATCATCGCTTTCTTACAGATGAGAAAAATCAAAGCACAAACAGGTTAAGAAATTTGTCCCAGGTCAAAGGCTAGTAAGTTGTATGACCAAGATTCGAGAGCAGAGTCTAACGACTATAGGACAGCTGCCTTTCTAGAACTAGGATCAAGTGACCCCATGATCCCTAAAAAGTCCTTCCTACTCAGACCTTCTAAGATTCTGAGTCAAGGCCTTCCAGGAGTTTTACAACTCTCTGAAGGATTGTAAAAGGATTTACTTTTCATATTCCCCAAAGGCAATTCAAAAGCCTTGTCAAGTAGAAAGGAGGAGTAACAGGGAATGAGGTTAGACCTCAGAAAAGACTTCCCTATGATCAGTCGCTGGGAAAAAATGACTCAGAGGATACTGGAAGAAATGACTCAGAGGACACAGAAGAAAACCGTGGAGTTTAAGACAAGAGTCAGGGGACAGATCTTAGCAAGAAAGCAACCCCTTCCTTCCTCACCCTCCACGGCCCACGCCCCTACCCCGTCCCTGATTGCAATAAGGGCTGAATGAGGGGTGGGAATGGGGGCGAAAGCGAAGCTTTCCCAGGCGCTCTCCCGAGGGCGTGCCTGGCGCGTGTCCGCGCCCTGGCTCCCTGGGGTGCGCGGCTCTGCGCCTCGGGAAGCGTGTGCGCCCGGGGCCCGCGCGCCCGAGTGTGAGTCAGTGTCTGTCTCTTTGTCTCGGTGTCTCTGTCAGTCTCCGCCAGAGCCGGGCTCTATCGCGGGCTTCCTGACGCTATCTCTCGCGGCCCCTCTTTGTCTCTCCCCATCTGCCCGTCTCTCCT